GCCAGGATCAAGAAACGAAGACAACGACACACACACATACATACACACCACCAACATACCCTCCTTATCTCTCCCTTCCCGCGCTAGCCTAAGGGCCACCTTAGCAAAGCGCATCCCAGGCTGCATAGCCGCACTACCCTACCCAACCATAAACATGACATCACCCCCAGGATTACACAGAGCCGGCGAAGCAAGAAGAGCGCCAGAAGAAAGGGCCCTAGCCGCGGGGCCCAGCCAGGACAAAAGGATGCCCCACCTACGAAGGCTGTCCAGACCTACACGAGATGAGGCAGGATAAAGAGGGATAATCCCCTACGAAGGCTGTCCAGGCCTACACGAGATGAGGCAGGATAAAGAGGGATAATCCCCCTCGATCCCAAATCATTGAGGCCAATTTCTAGCCATAGAATAATGGCGCGNCCGCGCCCGGTTGGGAGGGTGTCGTGTCTGTGTGTGCGTGTGGTGAGGTGTTGTGTTTTTGTTTTTGTGTGTTTTGTGTTTTTCTGGTCATGTCAGCGTATGTGCGTCCTGGGGTTGTGTTTGGGGTGGGTAGGAGGGGCTGTCTGTGTGTTTGTGTAGTGTTTTGTGTCGTGTGTGTGTCTGTGTTTTGTGTTTTTGTGTTTTTAGCTTTGGGGTACTGAGGGCACCCCATATAGCTGGCGGGGTGTGGCCCGGCGCAATTTGCACACCTGGCGGGCGTGTCTTTGGCCTTTTTGCATACGTGCGTGCTGTGGTTTTCGCCACATTTTACGCACTTTGGCTCAGCTGTGCACCGGGTCTGGCCGTGGCCGAACCGCTGGCACCGGTGGCACTGTGTGGCAACCCGCTGCTTTCGCTGCAGCTTTACTCGAACCACGAGCGAGCAGCAGCGGGTTACCTTCAGGATGTCCTCCTGGTCCTGTGGGGCCTGAACTAGGACTAGGGGCATTTCCTGTTTATTGCACTCGGAACTGAAATATTACTTGCAATCCTTTATTACAAGCCACCCTGTAAAATAAAAGCGAAATGACCCCGTCATTTATCATCAAGGCCTGCCTGCCATAGATGGTCTTTTTAGTTCAACCTGACGGCCGGTAGTTTCGCTACGGTTCTGTTTCTCTCTTTTTCTTTGGTGCTCCGTTTTCTTCTATTATATATTTTGTGGTCATACGTTTGTTTATTGTCTGTCAAATAAAAAGTGTTTGTATTCGTATTTACGACTTCTTGTTGGTGTATGCCTATTTTTCTTGTTTTTACTATATTTATATTCTTGATTTTTATATATCACACGTTCGTATTTGTGTTTGTTTTATTAGTTGGATATTTTTTATGGTTCTGTGTGCTTTTTTCTTATAAAATGGGAAGGACTGGCTGTGCAGTACCCAACTGCCAGCCAAGTAAAAGAGCTGCGAGGTACCGTTTTCCTCATCCCATATACGGAAAAGACCTTATGCTCACTTGGCTACGAATTATTAATAATGAAAAACTTAAAACCTTGGACTTTGATGTTATTTATAAGAACTATAGAGTGTGTGATAAACATTTTATGGAAGAGGATCGCACTACCAACAATCGACTGAAGAACATGGCATTCCCTCAATTACATGTCCCTTTAAGTAAGTATAAAATAAAGATACTGAAAATAGTGAGTTAAAATTAACATGTAGGTCTTGTATCTATAGTTCCATACAAGGGTGTAGGCATACAAGAATTTAGGGTTAGGTATAAGCGTTCACTCATTTAATAGTACATTTTGATTTATCTTGTGAATTATATTTAAGGAGCAACAGTAATAATGTTAATTTTGAGGTGATCTATGTGATAAAATTAATAACATACTTACATTTTTAGTGTCTACTTGGGATGATACTAGTGCTAAATCTGTTGCTAGTGCAGAAAATATTGTTATGGGTAAGTGTTATACAGGGTGGTCCAGACCAATGTCCCTTATTATTGGAATTAAAATAAAACTCATTTCAAGACGATACTTAACACTTTCTTTATGTTGCAGGATTTGATCTTACAATTACATCTGACTTTTCTCTTCCTTCAACCAGCACTGGTATTTTTGCTACTGGTAAGTTCTAGATATATATAGTTTATAAAACTGTTGCGTATTAATTTGAGAACATATTACAGTGTCAAATAAGGATGGTTATATAGTTAAACCTGATGGCCGTATATTTATGTCAACACCAAATAATGCTGGTCTATCAACCAGTTCAACCTCTCTACATTTTGGTAAGTATATTTCCATGAATACGGAATTTAAGTAGTCAACTTTCATGTATTTTAATTTTCATAAAAAGCAGTAGTATCACATTTTCATTTAGCTGTATTTCTATTTTAGGTGATGAAAATAATGAATTGGGTGCAATTCAGTATCGTCAGACTTCTGAAAATTCTCAAATAAGGTTAAATAATCCTCCTATAGCACGCAGTAAGGAATATTAATGAGTTAACGTAATATTAGTTTTTATTTGCTGTTTTTTCAGAACATGGTTTGTTGAAAAATGTTGGTGTTCATAAGAGTTCACAACTGTCTCCTGTCTCCAGAATTCTGTATAAGCAAGCTTTATATTACAAGAAGAAAGCTTCCATGCTCTCCAAACGGAAAATGGATTTACAACGTAAAATCCAAACTATTGAGAAATGGTCAAAAGAAAAATGCTTCCAAAATTTGACCAAACAATTTAACCATCCTGCAGTTCACTTTTTCAAAAGACAGGTTGAATCATTTGGCAAAAAGGCTAAAGGTAGGAGATTTGACATTGAAGATAAAATTCTTGCCCTTGCCCTTTACAGGCAGAGTAACGCAGCATACAAATTACTATCCTCTTTGTTTATTTTACCTTCAAGAGTAACTTTACAAAAAATGTTGTCAAGAATTCCCATTTCTTCAGGAATTCATGATGCTGTTTTTAATGTTTTAAGTTCAACTAGTAAAAAAATGAAACCCCACAATAAGTATTGTGTACTAATGTTTGATGAAATGTCAATTGAGCCTAATTTACATTATAATCAATTTCTGGATGAAGTTGATGGCCTTGAAGATTTTGGCGGAGAAAAGTTTGAAAAAATTGCAAATCATGTTCAGGTAAGGCAGCCATAAGTACGTCATATATAAACATATATTTGATTTTTGGAAATTCAGAAGTGTATAAAAATTATGTACCTAAAATTTTAAAATATGTTAGAAGAGAAATAGGGCTATTTTAGTCATGTACAAGTAATAAAATAGTATAATAACACTGCTAGCATGGTAAGAGGGCTTTTACTGACAGACAGAAAGATATGAAGATGAGCTTATCTGTCGTGTCACCTTCTGGAGTCAGTAAAAACTGTTACTCTGCGTGTGTTGTTAAATATTTTATTTGTTATTCATTTATTTCATTTATTTTGGTGAAAATGAATGTGCTCGTAAAATCGACAGTGAACCCATAAAAATTTTACAAGTTACCTACTAACTTTCTTGATTAATATAGTGTTTTGATAAATTGATAGTTTACAATGAGTAACAAATGAAATATTAAACTATATTATATCATTTATAGAAAAAATACACCTTCATATAAAAATTTTTTTTCTTCAAGTTTCATTTTTAACATAATTACATTAATTTAGCCATTTAGCCATTTACCAATAAAAATGTTTAGTGATTATTAAAAATATATGTAAATATTGAATTTATCAAAAAAGTGAACTTAATACCTTTTTTAGGTATATATGTTGAGAGGGATAGCTAGTAACTGGAAGCAACCTGTTGCATATTTTTTTGTAAATGGAGGTGTTAAAGCTTCAAAAATTAAAGAAAACATCGTAAATATTATCAGAAAAGCCAAACAATGTGGCCTAACTGTTGTTGCTACTATTTGTGATCAGAGAAGTAATAATAAGAGTGCCATTAATTTACTAGTTACAGAAACTCAAAATAGAACAGGAACACAGGATTATATTTTTGAAGTTGACGATAATAAAATAGTTCCACTTTTCGACCCTCCACATTTATTGAAAACACTTCGGAACATTTTGTTATATAGAGACATTTACTTCACAAACAAAAATGGTCAGAGCAGAGTTGCAAAATGGGAATTTATTGAAAAAACCTGGGCGCTGGATAACAACTGCGGTGATTTGAGAGCTTTGCCTCGTCTCACAGAATACCATATTAATAAGTCTAAAATAAAAAAGATGAAGGTGTGTGTAGCTGCCCAAGTGTTCAGCCATTCAGTTGCTGCAACAATGAATCTTTTAATTATTAATAAAGGTGTGTAAATTATATATGTTGTATTATAGAATAACTAGAATCATAATAAATTATTATTACAATGTTGGTTTTAGGATCCCTGTGGAGTGAAACAACTTTAAGTGAAGATGCTCGTGGAACTGTTGACTTGGTGAAATTTATTGATGATGTTTTTGATAGTGTTAATGGTTCAGCAAAAAAAGACTTGAAGGGTAAACCACTAAGAACGTCTGTATCGATGGAGGAACGTAGCATACATGAAGGTTGTTGGAATGTAGCTATTCAAGTTTTCCAAAGTATGTATGTCGTGGAAAATGGACAGAAGAAAGTAATGCCATGTTTTAATAACTGGTTAATTACTTTAAAAGGTCTCAAAATTTTAAGAAAGCAATTGAAACTATTTGGCTTCAGTAGAATAAAAACTAGGCGATTTAATCAAGATCCCGTGGAAAACTTGTTTGGTAGAATTCGCCAAAGAGGTCAAAGATTTACAAAACCAACATGTAAAGCGTTTGGTACATTTTATAAATCACTTCTTTTAAATGGTTTAGTATCAAAGCTCTCGGTAGGATCGAACTGTGAAGATGATGAAGGGTCTATACTTGTTTCTTTACAAAAATTCATTACCCATGTAAAGCGAAATAAGAGTAGGTAACTGGTAATGTGGTGGTGGTGAAATTATTTATTATTATAAAATTATAATGAGAATATTATATTTTATTTTATTTTTTGGGATATCAGATAGATATTATGGCTCTCAAGTATTACTATCCAGCCAGAGGTATGCTATCAACATAGAATAAAAGGTATATATTAAACAATATAAAAAATGCACATGAAGTATGATTATATTTGTGAGTAATAAGGTAAGATTTTTGTTTATAAATTTAGACCATAAGGTTGTATACTCGTTGTATACTCGGATTAATTTATTTTTTATTGAAAAGGGTCTAACTGAAGATTCATTAGATGACATAGAAACTCCGGCATTTGAAAATTTGCCTGAAAGTTTTCAGTCACCAAGGCCGTTAGAGGGTGCTGCCCTATCCTATATGGCTGGATATATTGTAAACGTCAAGACAAAACTGAAAGACTGCATTGTTTGCAAGTGCAATGTCCTGGCACTACAAAATGAACCTGACGGTTTGGATTCTTTAATTACATTTGAAGAATATGGCAACAAAAATATAAAGCGTTTGAAATATTGCAATTTGGAACTTATTGCAAAGTTAATAAAAACGTACAATATTGCAAAATATATTTTATCCGTTAGGCCTGCACAAAAAAGAATATTAAGATGCATAGTGGCCACTGTAAATGCAAATGTAAATTTTAATTTTGTTTATTGTGAACATTCTGCATCTGTAAAAAAGTCTGTTATTGTGGGGTTCATAAAATTAGTTATATTTAATTATTTCAATGGTATTAATAACATCATTACAGGGAAGGGTGAAAGGAAATGGGAACAAAAAGAGAGTATACTGTGGAAACAAGCTAGATGTTTTCATGAAACGAAAATATTTAAAAATAAATTATAATATATCCAAAGCTTTATAAAAAATGTTTTGTATATTGCAAGAGGGTACACACCTAAAACATAATATTTATTTTATAAGATTTGTATGCAAGATCACATATAAGGAAAATATAAGGTTTGTTCCAACAGTTGCGGTTGCGGGTAGTTTGTGAATTGTCAATTTCCGCAGTTGATTGTTGTGATCTTTTAAAATATACATTTCATCTTAATAATAATGAGTACTAACTTTTTGAAGTGAAATAATACTTTTTATCGGATTTGTTGATATATAAGCTGATACAATTTAATATCTAGATATTAGTAGATAGTAAAATTGTTATTTCAATCAGTTAATTATATTAATTATTAAATAAAAATTGCATGTTTTGGACATAATTATATTCTTTATCGTTAGTCTCTGGCCGTGAAATAACTTCATTTTGAGTTCCGACAATTTGAAAATGGCCTGCAGCTGTTGGAACAATCTTATGAATTTGTTAAGTTATGCAAATATAAGAAAATTGGTAATACGTAGTATATTATACTGAGAATAATTTAGATAAGTACGTAAGTAGTAAGTATATTAAATATGTTCTTTCCGTTGTAATAAACCATTTTTAGTATATATAATAAATTGTTATTGTATTTCATAAAATATTTTTTTATTCCTTTAAACAAATGGGGTTCTGGTATGTTTATGCTTTTGCTTTATATTTAGAAAGTTAAATATATATTACAGTATGGATCATTTAAATAAGGTAGATTTCTTAACTTTATGGGTAAACATAAATACTGTACTTAAATTAGGCAACCAAATGTACATACAGGGTCGGAAAGTACCGATGGTCCTTCTGCCCTTACGTGAGAGCGATAAAGTAAGTCATAGAAATTCGTGCGATAGAGAAAGATGGCTATAATGAAGGCGTCTAATAGTCACCGCCCATTTCGCCCTTCCATAAATAAGAAGTGGATCTTCTGTGTCATGGAGACTACATCTCCCTGATCTCCCTGGTGATGATGATAAAATGTATGTTATACCAGTTATACGCAAACAACTGCCAAAAGTGGAAGGATTAATTGAAAATGTCATCTACAAACTTAAATAAGTGATCCGTTTCGTCTACAGGAATACACAATGTAACTTCCTCGTCGTTTATTTTAAATTTCAAATTTAATTCTTGGTTCATTGTAACTATACCTTCTTTGAAAAACCTCAACTGGTGAACTATTATTTTGACTGAATAAAAATCAAAACATAAACATAACCTATAATGTCAGAAACCCACGTAAAAATTGTCATTCCATCGAGATTGCACCAGAGCATATTTCTCATACAACCAGTGGAGTGTCAGTGCTGCCCGAGTGCAGCCCCAGTTTTCCCCAATGGAAATCACTATAAGAAAGGAATGTTTTCCCAAGAAGCGTCGTTGGTTATGGTTATACTTGTCTTTATTTTTTATTTTGTAAAAATAGTTGTATTGAGAAAAATATTTTGTGCTCTCCCCAATATATTTGCTACAAAATTAAGTTTTATTGAAATTAGAAGTTGCACCAAGGTTTTTGCAGTCTCAGAAGTCCTCTAATTCCAATGTTTTTCAGATCAAGATTTTTTTGTTTCGCCAAGAATAATATGCTGAAATTGCAAAAAATTGTATTCTCTTTAGTGATGGGTCACTCATGAACGACTAGTATGAACGTTCCGGTACATAATCTTGAGCCATGAATGAACAACTCACAGTGAAGGAGCTGATCGTTAATTTCGCCATTAATATATTTGAGCTGGCATTGAACACCCGAGTACCTGATATTCGACTGCTCCACTAGAAATTACTAATAGAATCTCAAGTAAATCCCTTCATTTACTAATGTCTAAGAAGTAGGAACAAAAATAAACACATTTTTTGTTGCCATTTATATTGTAAAAATGCAAAGAGCAACGACTAAACACATGCAAACAAGCAAATCATCATGTAAATGTAATAAACAGGATTGTTACTTGTCAAAACATTTTTTGTATGAGCCACCTAATTCACATTCAGCATAGCCACAGCTCCGAAAAGCAATAGGCAAGCATTTAGTTGAGCAATTGTCAGCAGTCTTGCAGCACACTTAATGAGTTGTGCCGTCCATGCCAGCACATCCAAAATGAATAATGAGCGTTCCAGCTCTAATTCTCTTATATTCCGTCATTTGCTTCAGTGCATTTAATATACAGTGTTTTTAAATGAAGTAGCAAAAATGGTATCAGTGAATGTAGAGCCAAAAATAAGATTGAAGTAAAAATACCTTGTATGAAAGTTGCACCCCTGAGGCGAAATACCCTCTTAAAGGAGGGGATTGAAATTCACATTTTAATTTTTTTCTTTAACATGAGGAATGCTAGAGACACAAAACTTGGTATGAGCATCCTACTAATAGAGACAACTTTTCAATATTTGTTCGATCATTGGCATATTGTATAAAGGAGTGAAACAGTCAACCCCATTGCAATATTTTATAAGAAATTTTTTATATGAAGCAAATTATTTATTTAAAAATATTTATTGGGAGGACTGATTTATTGCACAACTTTTTTACCTCTGGTAATTTTTCAATGAAACCGATACTTTAGAATTAGATGTGTCATCGTTCACTGAAGGGATAATTGCGAAAATTGGTAAAAATAAAGTAGGTGGATGTCATAACAAATAAATTGTTATTTATCATATTAATAAATTGACACTTTATGTCAACCAATAATTAGTACCAATTGATTAATTTATTATCAGAATAATTTGGCAAATAATATTTATACCAATGACGAATACGTTTTTCGAATCCAGAAAAAATTGTAACGCTGCAGTAAGATGTGCCACCAAAGATAACCAAACCGACCGATTCCTCATAGACAAACATTGGCCTCGGTGGAAAGAAGGCTTCGTAAAACTGGTAAAATTCAGCCCAATCGTGAGGGTGCCGGAAGAAAGCGTAATGTCCGAACTGTTGAAACTAAGGAAGCTATACTGGAACATCTAGAACAAGACTGTGGTACAAGCATAATACAGGTACAGGCACAGAATGTAGTTCATGGAAATCTTTTATACTCTTTTCACCATCAACCCGTGCAAGAATTGAATGACCCTGATTTACCTAACCGCGTGGATTTTTGTCAATGGTACATTAATATTTCCAGGTATGACTTAACTTTCCTAATGAATATACTTTTCACCGATGAAGCCCATTTTCTTAGAGTAGGTGCAGTAAACCTTCATAATGTTCATTCATGGTTGGAAGAAAATACTCATGAAATATTTGTTTTAAGATGTCAACATAATTTAATTTAAACGTTTGGATGGGAATTGTAGGAAATACTCTAGTAGGTCGTTTTATTCCTCCACAAGTGCTTGGAGCGGCCGAGTATCTTATATTTTTTAATGAAAATCTTCCAACATTACTCGAGGATGTAGCCCTTGCTACACGTCAGGTGATGTAGTATACGCACGATGGGGCGCCTGCACATAGTACTCTTGCCACTAGAGAATGGTTAAATTTAAATTACCCGATTTGTTGGATTGGTCGTGATGCCCTTGTTTGTTGGCCTGCACGTTCACCTGACCTAACGCCTATGGATTTCTTTTTGTGGCGACACATAAAAAGTATTGTTTATGTCACTCCTGTTGCCTCCTTAGAACTACGCTTAAGAATATTTCAGGCAGCAGATGACCTTCGCAATAACCAAGAACTGTTTGTGCGAGTGCGTTATAACTTCAACAGACGTATTAGGTTATGCTTGCAGCAAAATGGAAATTATTTCGAGAATATTCTTTAAATTTTGCATTTCTTATTTTACGTTCGTATTAAATTTTATTTCCGATAAATAACTTTACCTAATACATGTTCTATAGTCATAAATTATCAAACATTTTTCATTAATTAATAGCAAATTATTCTTAATATTATTAAATTACCAGCTTATTGACAGAAAGTGTCAATTTATTAATATGATCAATAACAATTTATTTGTTATGACATCCGTCTACTTTATTTTTACAAATTTCCGCAATTACCCCTTCAGTGAATGATGACGCATCTAATTTTTTACTAGAAAACTAGTTTTATCGAAAAATTACAAGAGGTAAAAAAGTTTCGCAATAAATGTCTTCCCAATAAATATATTTAAATAATTTGATTCATATAAAAAATTTCTAATAAAATATTGCAATGGGGTTGACTGTTACACTCCTTTATAAAATACGCCAATGATCGAAAAAATATTGGAAAGTTGTCTCTTTATTAATAGATTGCTCATACCAAGTTTTGTGTCTCTAGCATTTCCCATGTTACAGAAAAAAATAAAATAAAATGTGAGTTTCAATCCCCTCTTGTAAGAGATATCGCCTCAGGGGTGCTACTTTGATATAAGGTATTTTTACTTCAATCCTCTTATTTTTTTGCTCTACATTCACTGATACCATTTTTGCTACTTCATTTAAAAACGCCCTGTATAGGAACAGGATATTTGTTTGGTTTGGTATTAAAACACATAGACTATCTAAAATATACTTCATGTATTTTGACTCCTCAACTCACTGGTACATATTTAAGACAGTGCGTACGATAAATAGCCAACAACTTTATAATTTAACAGAACAGACATAAACTAAATTTTTTGTAAATCTACAAGCTACATAGAAAATTTTATGGGCATCTTATTTTTTTAGCAATGAATAATATCTTTGAGGTGAAAGGACCCCTATTTTAAATACTTATAAATTATGTGGAAAAACAAAAATTAGTATTAAGTAACAAAGAGTAATTCGTGTGATTGTGTCCTTGACTACTTAACTGCAGCATGAGGCAGGATTGGGATCTTTGCCCGATCGTTTAGTGACATTTATTCTTGTAAATTCTTCAGCGATTGTTGGATGAATTCCCACAGTGTTCATTAATATGTTAACTGTTAAGTTGCATCTGAAAAGTATATAAAATATAATTTCTCACATAATAAAATAGGTATAAAATATTTAAGAAAAATTTAAAAATACAGTTTAAATAGTTGCCCTCATTGTGAAATATTTATAATTCAACTAACAAACATGAATATATTTTTCTTGTTTATCCACCATTGGAGAAAAAAGTTAATAAAAAACAAACTGCGCTAAAATAATGAGTCAAATGTTGCCCTTAATATTTTTCAGGACGTTTTATTTACAAAAAATCTCACCAAAAAAGTAAAGAAATATTTAAATATCAATCACATCTGTCAAATCAGATGAATTTTTATAAAGGCTTCTGTGTTACTTACTTCACTGCTATGATAAATATCAATTTGTATAACTGTCAGATGTCTATTACTAGTTTGACATAAACATTTTATTTTTTTGAAGTCATACAGTGCCTTCATAATTGCCCAAGACCCACGTGATCAGATTTGCTTTGGGGCTCTGTAAATTTGATTTCCTTAAATTGGTTTCAGAAATTACCAGGAAAAAATCACACTAGCATCCTAAATTAAATGTCAATCCATAGACATTCGTAATTTTTCATGTTTTTATGCATGTGTTTTCTATAGTACCTTCATAAATACCGGAGTCCCTCGTAACTAAATTTGTTGACAGTAAATTTGGTTTTTTTAAGTTGGTGTTTTACAAATTATCAAGGAAAAGTCACCAACCAGGGACCTAGATGAAATGTCAATCCAGAGGCGTTCGTAATTTTTCGGGTTTTTATGCCTATTGTTTGTACAATTTAGTAGTATTTACCAGTATTTCTGTGCTTATCTACAAATAATCTTTGTCTAAAAAAGAAATTGTTGTTTTCAGAACTCCAAAAATTCGACGTTTTTTTTTCGTAATTTAAACAAATATTTTAAGATTATGTTCATTTGTTAGATTATCTTATTTCTTTCAGATTTGTGTATAAATGCTGTTTACCCCAAAATAAGGCGCATTATTTTGATGGCACATTTTCACAGTGATACACGGAACGCAGATGGAAGTTGGTCTCTTACCATTTACATTCCTCCATGGAACAAATTGTTGAAGCCTGTCCTGATGCTATCGTATATGATGTGTTTAAAAACCACAAATTAATTCTTATTAAAAGATATTAGGAAAAACATTGCATTTGTAAGGGCATGTCAACAGAAAATGTTGAAGATATTCAACAACAAATGGTGCGAAGTCCTAAGAAACTTGCCTTCTCAGTAACACATAAAATCTAATTCATATTATATGTATGTACATAAACATATTTACATATCAACAATTAATTTGTATCTATATAATCCTGTAATCCGAAAATATCAGTAATTCGAACTTATCTCCTTAAGCCTGTGTTTTAATTAGTTCGGATTAAAGAGTATATACTGTATTTCTTAAGAATTATTTTCATATAATCAACATAATAATTATACATAATATTGATAATATGTTCGTAGGTGTATCGGTTGGGACTTGTCGCAAGGCAATAATGAAACAGCTGCATATACATTCCTATTAGGTTTCTGTTGTGTAAGAATTATGTCCTGATCACAACCATCAACAACGATATTGTCGACGGTTTAATGAACATTTAAATGATGAGAATTTCTTAGACCTGACGTTTTATTCCAATGAGGCATGGGTACATTTAACTGGTTATGTAAATACATAGTCAGAATTATAGAACCTGAACTGCAGAAAATCCTCATCATTCTATTGAAACATCGTTACGTACTCAGAAGATAGGTATCTGGGTAGCAGTTTCAAGCCGGATAATAATAGATGGAAAATGAAACTTATAACATATTACAACCCTTGGAATTAATGGATGATGATGAATTACAGCATTTGTATTTTCAACAAGACAGAGCCACAACACACTGCAGTAGAAATTATCTTCAGAAAGATATCGTCAGGAATTTTATGGTGATAGATTGATTACTAGTTCGTGATCTGCTCGAAGTTCTGATCTCTCACCTTTACATTTTTATCTGTTTGACTATATCAAAAATAAGATTTAAAAAAAATCCTTTCCACACACTGCTGGAAGCAGCAATTGAAGATAAAATAAATATTATAACACCAAATGAACTTGAACACCTTTTTGAGTGCCTGATATTGTAACAAAAGCCGGGACACATGGTAATTTATTTATTAGTTCTCAGAATGGATGGGCCAAAAAGTAAAATATTTCAGTCAACACTAATTTATTGTCACAAGGCCGACCTTCGGAGAAGGCTTCATGAAATTTAACAGTATTTTTTAACGAGTTCCCTTAGATTGTTGGGGCCACGTGTTGAGCATCTGGTATGAAGAGAAAAATTGATATTTCAAATAACGCACGAAATGCATTCCAAAGAAAGTAGGAATATATTAGGGTATTCCAAGAATAAGTTGTTAGAAATTGTTAGAAAAATAATAATAGATCAAATAGATCGTTTTTAGGCGGATTTTCCAAGGTAATTATTAACATAGTATAGTTATACCAAAGCGACCCGATATTCAGGAGCTCACCAATAAGATAAGAACATAAACTTCTGGACCCAAGAAATGGGCGTGTAAAAGCGAGGTGTCGAATTCAGGAGAGATCTCCGAAAAACAGGCAGTTTTTCCTTGGGTTCCACATTGAGCAGTCTACTTAGTTTTAGTCTCGGGTTAATTTAATAATGGATAAAGTCATTCCAAATTTTACTATGGATCGCGCATTCCCTGAATCTCGGTACGTTGTCGCGTATCAATAAATTAATTAATAATGTTGTTTGGGCCCGTTGTGTCGTTATTTCGTTTGTTTGTTTTGTTTTTTTTATTGTTATTAAAACCATTCCTGGAAGATTTGGTGTTTCTTTCTTGTTCTTCCAACTTAAGTGTAACCAACCAACCACTGGATTACCTTGTACCTGAGCAACATATGGTAAGTGTCTGGTATTCATTCTCTGAACGTACAACATTTCTAAGTTCCCATGTATTAATTAAAGTGTAATGGTAATTATAAACACCCTTTCGAGAATTAAATAGTAGACTCTTTTATAAGTTAATATCATTATGATACTGGTTTTAACGGTAGATACATAAATGAACGAATAACCCCTCAGGTTACAATATGAAGAGGAAATTTTGTTTGGAAAACGAAGGTGGCCATTTTGAACATCAATAAATTTGATTAATATAATTTTGGTTGGTTGAGTAAAAAACTGTGTTATGTTAGCATTGTATTGTAAATTAATTAAACTATAATTTATATTTAAATATTGAAAAACAAATTAATAAAACGGTGAAACATTTTGTATTTTATTAACAATATTTTCATTATCTCTGAATGAAAGTAAAGTACGACAGAACCTATATTTTTAAAAGGACAACCTTATTTAATAAAAAAATACTATTCAATATATGTAGAATGGGATAAAAATTCAAAATATCTTTAAAGGAGTATGATTATTTTGCATGTAAAAATGTAAAAAAGTTTTTAAAATAAACAAATTTTGCACATTAAAGTTCAATGTTTGTAAAGAAATGTAATATGTACTCCTCTGGAATATCCTCTGTCTTTAGGGAATTTTGTGTTAACCATTCCCTCCGGTGTAAATATGAAGGCACTGCATAACTATCTGCTTTCCTTATTGGTTAAGCAAAAATAATTTAATAAAAAGTAACTTCAACTGATCCTTTTGGTGCAAGGGTTAATTTCCGACAATACAAATTAATACTTTTTAAAAATTTTCAATATACCATTTTGGAAAGCAACTTACTTGATGGCAGCAGCAAATCCCTGAATTACTTCCCCAGCTTGTGGGCCAATAAAATGCATTCCTATAACCTTCTGATCACCCTCTCTTAGAGCTACTACCTTGAGATAGCAATGGGAAATGTTCTTTTGTGGAATGAAAAACTCCGTGGGTTTATAATATGCGTGGTACACTTCAATACTGTCAGGGCCGTATCTTTCAGTCGCCTTTTCTTCACTCAAACCTACAAACAACATATATTAATTTAACAAACAATAGTAACAATAATAATTAAAATAAAGATACAATAAAGGACACCGCACCATTCATATGGAAATTGGATCCCGGTCAAATTCATTGAAACTTCAGAATAATGTTGTTCTTGATGTGCTGATCAAAAACTCCAATGGGCATGAGGTCCAAAAACCCATAGTTTTCGAGATAGAGAGCGTAAAAGTTACGGTAATTAGCTATATTTGCCGTTCTCGTAAACACGGTGTCGAGGGTTAATTCTCTCTTTCCCCTCTAAGAGATTTTTCAAACGTACACTATTACTTTTGACCCCGAAATGGAAAGAGCAAGTATTTTTGTTGCATTCGGGAAACTGCTTTTGTACTCTTGTATACCGGGTGTCCCATTTTAAAAAATACACATGAATATCTCTTAAGTTAAGGGCTTCATGAAAAATTTTTCAAATAAAAGTTGTAAGGTTTTGAGGGGGAAGGTAATTTCAAGGTCAAGTTGACTTTTTCAAATGGAAACATATTTTTGACACCAGAAATGAAAAGAGCAAACAATTTTACATCCGACTGACCTTGATCATGACCTTCAAAGTCATTTGAAGGTCATTTGTTTTTTTGTTGCAAAATTTATGCCCGTCTTGCTGAATAGTGTACTCGGGGGTTTTCAAGGGCACTGATACCAAATATGAAGTCAGAATTTGAAAATATTCAAATCCAATATGGCCGACCAATTTTTGGTAAACATTTGTAATATTCATATGGATTAACACTTTGAAAATGCTTCAACCCACGTTAAAACTCAAGGTCGAGCCGAGTATTCGACATATTGGATCCGCCATATCGGATTTAACTATTACTAAATTCTGAGCTAGTCTGAGTTCAAAAACATTTGATTAAAAAATGCATGCCGCAAAGGGTTAATGGGTATTCTGGAAAATTATGGCAAGCCCCACATATCAAAAAGAAAAATATGAACAAGATTAAAGTTTTGCATGCAATATACTTGAATGACCTTCAAATGACTTTTGAAACTTAAGGTCATGATCAAGGTTATATCCAGAAGCAAAATTCTCCGCACTTTCTATTTTGGTCTGAAATATACCGGTTTCTATTTGAAAAATTAACTTGACCTTGAAATGACCGTGAAGTTCAAGGTCAAGGTCAATGTCATAGATGGACGCGAAATGGCCCGCTCTTCTCATTTCTGGTCTCAAAAGTAGAATTTTGCAACAAAAACTAAAATGACCTTCAAATTACCTTCAAGGTCATGGTCAAGCTCATAGTCGGACGTAAAATTTTCTACTCTTTAGCTTTCCTGGTGTCAAAAATATGTTTCCATTTGAAAAAATCTACTTGACCTTGAAGGTCATAGTTAAGGTCACTATTAGAAGTCCCCCTCAAAACCCTACAACTTTTATTTGAAAAATTTTTTCATTAAGCCCTTAACTTAAGAGATATTCACGTGTATTTTTTAAAATGGGACACCGGGTATATAAGCGGGTCAAAAGCAGTTTCCCAAATGCAACAAAAATACTTGCTCTTTCCATTTCCGGGGCCAAAAGTAGTAGTGTACGTTTGAAAAATCTCTTAGAAAGAGGGGAAAGAGAGAATTAATCCTCGACACCGTGTCTACGGGAACGGCGAAAATAGCTAGTTACCGTAACCTTGACGCTCTCTATCTCGAAAACTATGAGTTTTTGGATCTCGTGCACATTGGGGCTTTTGATCAGCACATCAAGAACAACAATATTCTGAAGTTTCAATGAATTTGACCGGGATCCAATTTTTCATAAGAATGGTGCGGGGTCATTTATTAAATACAAGTAGCTTGTCTACAGAATAAATATGGAACAATTTAATTTTACAAAGAACTGAGTACTCGAAGCTTTTTTATTACTCCGTTGATTTTTATTAATTTAAATCTTGACTTCTGTTTATGAACCCTGATATCGAATAGAATTAGGAATATCACTAATTACACAGGGTGTCTGGAAATTCATGCAACAAAATTTGGTCATAGATTCTTAAGACAAATTCAGGGGAAACCTATTTTTTCTTTTTGCCAACTGGCCCCCTCTTTCGGAGGTACAGCCCCCTGAAATCTGCCCCTAAGAAGTCTTTTTTATACCTCAAAACCATGTTGTATGAGAATCACTAAACTTGGTACACAGGAGTTTTATGACATGTGGAATCTCACAGTGCTACGCTTTTTGACGAGAAACCCCCTTAAGACACTTTCGTGGCCCCCCTTGTCTTTAGAATCAAATAAATTTTGGTCGCAAATTTGATTTTTTTTTAAATTATTAGTTGGCTAGAAAGACGCAATGTTTTTGAGGAAAATGGAGAATCACGATATGTATTCGATCACATTTTGACATTTTTCTCGAAAACATTGCGTTTTATGAAAAAAGTATAAAGAGACAAAAAGTTTCTAAATTTAATGGCTTTCTAGTGGACTGATAATTTTTAAGAAATTTAAATATGCGACCAAATTTTTTTGGCTCCAAAGATGAGGGGGCCCACGAAAAATTGTCTTAAGGGGGTTTCCCGCCAAAAAACGTAGCACCATCAGATTCCACATGTCATAAAACTCCTGTGTACCAAATTTAGTGATTCTCGTACAACAGGGTTCTGAGATATAAAAAAAAGATTATTCTTAGGGGCGGACTTCAGGGGGCTGTAACTCCGAAAGAGGGGGTCACTTGGCAAAAATAACAAATACGGGTCCCCTAAATTTGTCTTAAGAATCTGTGACCAAATTTTGTTGCATGAATTTCGGGACGGCCTGTAGTGATGGCTCTAAATGACTGATGACGGTTAAATTTATGTTTCCTTTTATTTGGCATTTTATAATGTTTACGATCATCAAAGAACAATGTTTGAATGTTTTTTGTTATATCAAAACTTTTTTTTTACTTGTATTGGTTATAATATATTATATAATATAGTGTTTTCTTATAAGTAACTCCATTCTGAACTTATGGCATTAATTTTTTTTTTCGGTCTTATTCAAGATTAAAATAAAAAAGAAGCAAAGAAACTACGAGTTTTTTTTTATATTCACATTTCTAAAGTTTAGCTAAGAACTTCTTAGTAATAATTAGAAAAAAATAAGAAAATACACTAATATTAGAGAATATTAAAATTTCTTACCAACAGCTCCATATTCTAAAGGACTGAATACTGTTGTGGCTACATTATCATAGTCCATGTTCAGAGTACTATTACCAAACAATCGGCGTGCCAATAATCTACCAGCAAGAATCGCAACTGGAGTCAGTTCTGGTTTTTTCTGTCGAGAAAACAAAATCATTGTTTATTTTATTGTCGATAATGCCAACATTATTAAATAGCCCAAAAGCTGGTAGACATTTTTGGGTAGGTATTTGAGGCACTGTGAAAAATTGTTTAAAACGTCTAGTGATATCTGATTACGAAAATGCAGACCTGGCTGAAGGGTTGCAGGGCTTAAGCGACCCTTAAATTTTTAGACGCAAAATTTTTTTTGAAAAAAATATTCTTGAGGCACTTTGGGTGGGACATTTTACCTGCCAGGTGGGTGAGAATAATTATATACAGGGTGATTCACATTTTATGATTAAGACTTTAATCATTGATAGATCTCATCAAAATACAGTATAGACTCTTTAATCCGAACTCACTTTAATTCGTATATCCACTAATCCGGCCCGATGAATGCCCGTTTCGATGGTCCGAACAAAACTCTTTAATTCGAACAAAATTCGGTTTAACGTATATAGTTCGGATTATAAAGCCAAAGTACATAATAAAAAGTAACCGCTAAAAACATAATTCCCAAGCAGTCTCGGGGAAACCTTTTTATACGAATCGGAACCTTTCCCGATTAGATCTTTTTAGTTGAAATATTATTGCCATGAAACATGTCGTAATCGTTAAACTGTTTCATTGGTTTCTTTTAGTCTTCTTTTTATTTTTTATAAATGCATTTTTTTATGCATGCATTACAAATGCATTTTTATTTTTTATAAATGCATATTTATTTTTAATAAATGCATAATAATATTTTATAATAATAATAATAATAATAATAATAATAATAATAATAATAATAATATTTATTAGCCAATACTAAAAAAAATCAACAATTTTCACAAGTGTATACATCCTCTAGCTCCGTGTCAGTTCCAACACGACACAAAGATACACACATTCAAAACAGAACGGAATACAAAATTTTGTTACTAAAATACTTCAAACACATATTTCTTTAACATACTTTTAAATTTAATATGATTATCACAATTCTTTATTATATCTGGTAATGCATTAAACATGTTCAACCCCCTATATAAAATTGTTCTATTCAACAACCCAGTTCTTGCAGTTCTAATAAAAAAATCTCCATGTTTCCTTGTGTTGTACGAATGAATTTCACTCACATATTGTACCTTATTACACAAATATTTAGCAGTTGTCTGATTTTTTATTTTAAACACCATATTTAAGGTCTTGAAAATTAATCTTTGTTTAACATTCATTAAGTTTAACACCTCCAGCATTAATTTTATCGGTGTATAACGATTACATTTCAATATAGTACGCATAGCTTTATTCTGTAATTTTTGTATTTTAC